GGGGTTGTGGTCCAAGGGATGGGAGACAGGGTGGGCAGAGCCAAGGCAATGAGGGCCCCAGGTCCCAGGTGGAGGACTGTGGGACAAGGCTGGGGTCTCCCTCACATGGTGGCAGCTGCCAGCCAGCCTCACCCTGGCCTTCATGCACGAGCTGCTTCTGGGTGGGAGGTGGTGGTGGGAACAGGGTCATATTTGGAGAGGGGAGCTGGGCAGGGTGGGCCCACTTGGCCTGCCTGCCTCCTGCCTGCAGCTGCTTCTCAGTCCAGCCTGTGCCCATGCTGTGCCCTGTCCTGGCCCCACAGCCTGCCTGACATCGCCGAGACACCAGGACCAGGTATCGAGGAAGTACAAATCATGGCACAGTGTAGAAAACACAGAGGATAAAAGAGTCAGGCCTGAGAGAATACTGCAGGGGACACTGGCGTCATGATGACCGTCAATGTGGAGGCCACTCTGAGGAGGGGACACAAAGACTCAGACCAGGCTTGGAAATGATCAATGCAAAGGCATCCTATACCTGAAAAAAGTGTAACTTAAAAGCTGGGGACAGGGACCGGGGAGATAGCTCAGAGGAATAAGTGCTTGCCTGGCAAGCGCAAGGGCCTGAGTTTAATCCCCGGTTCTGCTCCCCTGCAAAGAAGAAAAAAAAAAAAAGCTGGGGGCAGTGATACAGGATGTCATGCAGCAGAAATGGACCCCAACACCACAGAGGGGATGTGGGCCCAGTCACCCCCTGCCATAGAACTAGTCCCTCTGTGCTCCAGGCTCTGTTATGGTTTTTGTTTAGGTGTTCCCCCAAGGCCTCATGCAACTTAGTTATTGGGGCAGCTTCTAGACTTTTATGATTAATTCTGGATTCAATGTTGGGATTATAGATGTGAACACTACATCTGCCCCGGGGTGGATAACCTGAATACAATACAAGGAAGGGAGAGAAGCTTGCTAGTTACTGAAGCCGCTGCTCCTCCATTTGCTCTTTGCTGTTTTCCAACGCCATGAACTGCTTCCCTTTGCATATGCCACTTGAGCTGGCTGAGTATGGACTGAAACCTCTACTAACTATAAGCTAAATAAATCTTTCCTTGTGCGGGGGAGATGGCTCAGTGAGGGCCTGAGTTCAATCCCCAGTTCCGCCAAAAAATAAATATATAAATCTTTCCCTCCTTAATTTTGGGTGTTGGGTATTCTGTCCCAGAAATGAGAAAAAAATAACTGAGACACTCTTCAATTATCAGAAGGGAAAATTCCAACCTCAAAAGACATGCCACGCCAGGTGTGGTGGTACAGATCTGTCATCCTAGTCCTATGGGAAGCTGAGGCAGGATAACTGCAAATTCAAGCTCAGCCTGGCAACTAAGCAAGTTAGTGAAACTCTGTCTCAAAATTTAAGAAACTGGGCTGGGGAGATAGCTCAGCAGTCTAAGCAAGGATCCAGGTTCAATCTCCAGTAGCCTGGGTGTGCTGTGCTGGCCACCAAAACCAGGAATGGTGGCGCACACCGGCAATCCCAGCACTGGGGAGGCTGAGAAAGGAGGATCACTATGAGTCTGAGCTGTATAGAAAGACCCTACAACAAGTACATAAATAAAAAGACTAAATTTTTTTTAAAAAATGTATTTAGGCCCGGGACTACAGGATCTACAGGGTCTCACTATGTAGATCGGACTTGTAGTGATTCTCTTGTTTTCAGCCTCCCAAATGCTGGGATTACAGGCGCAAGCCACCATGCCCAGTCTCAACTGCTGTCTCAGTAAATGCCAGGGGAGGGGCCAGCATGGGAGGCCGGGGATCAAACCCTGGCCACTGTGCTCTGCCTAAGCAGGCCCTTTAGTATGCTGCTATGAGGTTGGCCCTAAAAAAAATTTTTTTTTTAATTTAGGAAAATGTAGGGGGCCAGGGAGATGGCCCAGTAGAATAAGTGTTTGCCTGGCAAGCACAAGGGCCTGAATTCAATCCCTGGTTCCACCAAAAAAAAAAAAAAAAAAAAAAAAAAAAAAAAAAGGAAAGAAAGAAAATTTAACAATGAGGCTGGATGTGGTAGCATACGCCTGTAATCTCAGCACCTGGGAGGCTAAAGCAGGAAGATTTTTCGAATTCAAGGTCAGCCTGGGCTATGAAGTGAGTTCAAACCAGCCTGTACTGCATAGGGAGACACTGTCTCAAAGCAAATCAAACCAAACCAAACAAACTACTGGGGATGTAACTCAGTAGGAAGGCCCTGGGTTCTAGCCCCATCATGGGGTTGGAGAGAGCACCAGAAAGTAAGAATAGGGCTCTGCAGTCCCAGGATGCCCCGTCCCTGTGCCCACCACCACTGGGTCTCCACATGCAGCCCTTCCTCCCAAGACACCCACATGGGTCAACAATGGGCTCCATTCAGCCTGGGAACAAGCCCTCTTACACTGCCAGGCTTCTGCCCTCGCTGTCCCTCTGCCCAGGACATGCTCCAGTCCCTTCCTCCTTGCCCAGCTAATGGCTGTACTCCCTTGGATCTCACAAAATATGCAGCCGCTTCCAGAGAGCCCTCCTGGGTCACCTCCTTGCAGACCTACAACAAATTGCTCCTGAACCTCCAGCTGGCTCCTGGCTGACGAGGGACAAAAGATGAGGAGCTCAGTGCTGTGTACCTCCAGGTGGCACTAGGGGTGTCCCAGTGATAGAGCCACTCACTCTGCATGGGACTGGCTGACGTGACATAGTGGTCCCACAGGTTGCTGGGGACTTGGGGAGGAATTTGGAGCCAGCCTTTCTGTCCTGCCCCCAGCCTGGCTTCCACTCACAGCTCTCAGCCTGGGACCCTCAGCTGCCACTGCTGGTGCTGCTGTGACCCTGTCTTGCTGAGGTCAGCAGTGGCCTTTTGCCCTGGCCAGCTGGCGAGGCTCCTCTCACAGAGGAAACCGGGTCCCTGACCAGCAACTGATGTAAGCTTCAAACTGCTAGGACAAGCCAGGAGGACAGGAGTTGAGGGTGCTGTGTGACCTTTGGTGAGTCTCCTGACCTCTCTGGGTGCCAGTCCTGACCCCTTGCTAGAGGGGCCATCAGTCTCCTGAGGCTCTTGCTGCACCTGGGCTCTAGCCTCCATCTCCAGGGTCCCTCCCCTCCCCCACCCAGCACTCCATGGGTGATTTATGGCTCGTCTGCCTGGCCCGGGTCGCTGCCCTAGAGTTGCCCTCAGCTCTTTTGGAGAACTGGACCTAAGCGGCTTCTTTGGGAACTGGATCTGAGTGTGAGCATTTGTTTTGCTGGGTGGGTTGAGGCCAGGGTGAGAGGGTAGTAGAGCTGATGAAGCTGGGTAGCACCAGTGCCACCAATTTTACCGCAGGGAAAGGCATTGGCAGGGCAGCACCAATATTGGAACTTTAGTGGCCTTGGCCTGTGTTCTGGGAACCACTCCCCAAGGACCTAGGCAAAAGCTGGGGTGCAGGGCAGGGGTGTGCCCACTTGATGAGGTAGGGGGAGGCAAGGGAGGTCAGCCTCTTTGTTCTGCTGCAGCAGTGCTCCTGGTGCAGACAGGGGAGCAGGCTCTCCCGGAGATCAGGTGACCAGTGGGGGGGGCTGCCTCACACTGTGATGCATTGTGGGGCGTGGCAGAGCAGGCAGCTTGCTTACCCTGCAGGAAGGAAGCCCTCATGCAGGCGGGGAGGCCAGGCCACCACCAGAGTTCAAAGTCACCCCCCCCCACCGGAACCCCAGCCTCCCCATGCGCAGCCATTCACATAGTCACTCTGACCTCAGAGCCACCCAGCTCTTCCCTGAGGCCCCCAGAGAACCCTGAAGGTTGGCTTCCTGCATCCACAGGGGCTGAAGGAGAGGCCTGGGAAGTCAGCCCAAAAGAACTGGGGACAAGCCTTGGTCCCCACAGGCGCTGTTGGACCAGCTGTCTCCCAAATGGCTCTACTTAAAGGAGTGGAGCTCAGACCAGACAGTGGGAGCTGACATTAGGGCAGAGTCTATCAGCTGCAGAGCCGCTGGCACCCAGCTTCCCCCTCAACATCCTACAGCCCCACCTCCAACCACAGCTGCCCCACCCAGCCTCACCAAGTCCATGGGGGCCTGTGGCCTACAAGCCTGAGCTGAAGTATATGTGTGCCAGAGAGGGACTCCTGGGTCTTGTGGGGGGCAGGAGGGATGCTGCGTCAGTAGAGTGGGGGAGAGAGGGTTGAGCCACCAAGCCCATAAAGGAGGGGGAGCAGCGAAAGGGCCGTGGCAGGCAGGGGACAACCCATGACGAGCCAGGGCTGGAGAGCAGGTGCCACGGGCAGGGGTGGGGCCTTGGCTCCTCCCCTGGAGAGCAGGGGTTGTACTATCCTGCATGGGTTGGCAGAGGGAGCTCAAGAGACATGGGCTGGAGGTCTCCTGGAACACCTGGGAACCTGGACACACCTGAGGGCCTGGACAAGGGCCCTCCACAGGCCCAGCACTTATGGCCTGGGGGCCCTGGAGGCTGGAGGACCCTTTACCCAGGGGCCTAGCACCATGAAGTGCTGCCACACAGGGCAAGAAAGAACACATGAAGGAAGGCATTGTGGAGCCCAGGCCTGTCACACCCCATCAACATAGCTCTGTGGAAAGGAAGTCACAGGGCAGGCAGCCTCCAAGACACCTACCAGGCTGCCCTTCTAAGAGGCCTCGTATGGGCAATGGGACTCAGCCCAAGCGAAGGTGTGTCTCTTCCAAGATTAATTATAGGAAAGGCTGGAGCAGCCAGGCCTCTGTGGCCCCAGCCAGTTAGGAAGCTGAGGCAGGAGGATTGCTTGAACCCAGTTATGGACCACACATTTAAGACTCCATCTCAAAAAAAAATAAAACCACCCCCACAAACCTGAGCCCTGGTAACTTCCAGGCCCCTGGGACCTAAGACCCAACTAACAACTCATTGTTGGAAACTGCTGGGTCACACAGCATCACCACATCAGATCTGGTCCCTGAGCCATTGTCCCCAGTGTCTAGTCACATGGCAGGGATGTGGCACAGGTGGCAGCGGTGTTGGCGACACTCACCTAACTCGGTGGGCTTCAGCAGCTCATCCAGCATGTTAAAGAAGGGCAGCTTCACCAGGCGGACCTCAGGTTTGAGTGTCTTAGTGGGCAAACGTCCCAGTCCATTCAGGTACTTCCCGTAGAGCACGGGATAGTCAATATTGGGGCCCGACAGGGGAGTCCTGGGCACGGCGCTGGCCCGCTCATAGGCCGAGTGCACGGTGAGAGGGTCCAGGGGCCTGTGTGGCTGTGGGCCAGGCTCTGAGCTCTTTTTCGCATAGCGAGTCTCATAGAGCTCCTTAATCTTCTTGAAAAGCTCAGGGCTGCAGTCAAACTGTACCAGCTGCAACGCCCTGGTGACCAACTCGTGCTTCAGCCCGCTCTTGCTGCGGCCCACAAATCCCAGCAGCATCTGCAGGTCGGAGACCCGGAAGCTCATCACCATGTTCTGAGGAAGAGCAAGCACATACACACCACTCAGAGGGCAGGGCGGGCAGTCCTGGCCCTGAGGCAGGCGTCCAGCTGGAGGCTGCCCATCCCCGGGGGCTCTCCAACTCTCCTGGGCATCTGCCATGCAGCACATGTGCCTCGAGCCCCCCTCTTCTATTTTAGGTTCTCTCTTCCCATCTTCAAGCCTGAAGATCCCATGATAGAAACTTGGGCCCAGGCACAGTGGCACATTCCTGCCATCACAATACCCAGGATGTCGAGGCAAGAGGATCACCAAGTACTGGAGGCCTGGGACTGCATAGTGAGCCCCTATCTCAAAAAAAATCAAAACCAAACAAACCAAAAAAAGACACTAGAAACCTCATTCTGTCCATAAGTAGCCTCTGCCAGCTCCCAGCCAGCACATAGTGACAGCCTCCCTGACTCTCAGCCTCTTTACTGGGTCAATCTCAATCTCTACCTTCTTGGAGAGAAGGCACCAGGTGAGTGGCCCACACGAGCACCTGGTGGAGGGAGTCCTCACCATTCGGAGCCACAGACACACTTCTGTTGCATGCAGGCCATCACAGCCACAACTTACTTCACAGAACCAGCTGGCAAAAGGCCAGGCGGACATGTGACCACCATCTCACACGCACTCAGATCCCTAAGACACCCCGCCAAGGTGGGGTGAGCAGTCCGAGGAGGTGCAGCTGGGAATCCAGCCTGACTCTAAGTTGAGGAATCTGTTTCTTCTCTAACTCCTGCCTCCACCAGGCACCAGCATCAAGCTGGTCTTGGATCTACCAAGTGTCTTGAGCAGGGTCTCAACGCCTGGGTCCGTCACTGGCTCATCTCCTGTGGCAAGTGTCCTGGCCACTGCAGGGCTCTGATGGCATTCCTGGCCTCCATCTGCTCCAAGCCAAGAGTGTCCCCAGTATGACAACCACCAATGTCCTCAGCATCACCTAGGGCCCCAGGTTGAGAAAGGCTCATCTGAGACCTTGAGCAGCCACAAGCTGGGAACTGAGCTGGTGGCAAAGCCATCGTGGCCTGCCAGGATCTGGCCCTGATGGCCTGACCTGGTCCTCCAGCTAATCAAAGCACTCCAGAGCTCCAGTGGGTCCCAGCATGTGGCTCAGGGCTGCCTGGGGTAGGGGGAGGTCTGAAGAGCGCCAATGTCCTCCAGTGATGGGGCAGCATAGTCCAAGGTCAACTCTACTGACCAGAAGCTGGCCAGAGATGAAGGAAACCTGGTGGGGAAAGAGCCTTCAGCAAGAATGAGACAGGGCACAGCAGATGTGGACAGCTGGTGGGAGTCCAGAGCAGCCCTGGAAATCCACTCACCACCAAAGTCCAACTAAACCAGCTGAATGAGAGCTGCTGGGACCCTGCTGCACATCCACACTGGGGTCTGTGCGCCAGAAGGCTCTGCGTTTCCATCCTGACTGCTTATGGGTGAGGTCCAAGGTAGAAACCACCCTGAGAGCTGAAACCGGACTCCTGGGGGGCCCTGGCCCATTGTGGGAGCTGCACAGACCCAAAGTGCCCAAGACAAACACTCCAACTTCTAATCCTGTACAAAGCCTCTGTGACAGAGTGGCCCTGCACAGTGCCTGGGACACCAGTGTCTTCTATGTGCCAGTCACCAGCAGGCCTTTTGGAGTCACACACCTCACACAAGCTGCCCTTCTGATGCAACTGAGGAAACTGAGGCCAGGAGTAGGCAGCAGCTGACTAGAGGGCCTCCTGGGTACAAAGGGCAGAGCCAGCATTTGGCTCTGTGGCTATGGGGCTGAGGGCATTTTCTTTCACTCAGCTGGCTGCAGGGGCTGGGAGCCTTCGTCAGTTGGTACAGTGACATAGGCTTAGGGGCCAGGGACATAGGCAGCCTGGGGATGCCTGGAAAGAAAGATGCCTCCCTCCACTGCCCAGACTTCCGAACCGGAACAGGAATAACCAGGCTCTTAGACAAGATGCTCCTGTTGGGAAGGGCCTGAGCCCACAAAGAGAGGCAGTGTGATGAGCTGGGTGCCGACTACACCAAGGCAGGTAGGCTTGGAAGCCCTCATGACATCAGCCAGCTGGCTGGGCACCTGGAGCGTATGAGCAGCCCCCAGCACACTGCTCTTCTGGCCATACACTCATGCCCTGGAATTCTCCACAGGTGCCGCCACCCAGGAGCCTGTCTTTGGAGCATGGGGGACAAGGGAAACAGATACACAGGAAAAAGCTTCAGAGTCCCAAGGAAGACTTCCTGTCCTGGCTGTGAGCACACCTATTAGATCTGTATTTATAAAATGTACCAGGCCCCAACAGCATTCAGGGCCAAGTTGCACCTCAGGCTTGTTTAGACTCCCACTAGGGAAAGAGCTGTCTGGTCAGAGCAGCTGCACCTTGACCCCACTTGGCTAGGCTTCTGGGGCACTTGGTTAAATCAGGGTCTGGCCCCTGGACAAGCACATAGGTGCAGAGGCTGCAAACCTCACCCTCAAATCTATTACAGGGACCACTAGTGAAAAAATCTCAGCCAAGGAGCTCAATCCGCCAAGGAGAGCCCGGTGTTCTCCCCTCAGATTAGCCCCTGGTATACCCTGAAAGACAGTATCTCCCATGTTCATGACAGTCTGGAAAGAGCGCTTGAAAATGGAGGAGACATTTCAAAGGTACTGAAGGCACTTCAAGGCGGTAACAAGAGACTGCTGCGGGAGACAGAAAGCTTTTGGGTCTGAGAACTTGTGCTGCAGCCTCTCCCCCCCTGAATGAGGTCTCACGGTTTAGAGACCCTGAAAAAAGGGTCAACATGATTTAACTGGGATGGGGGGCTCAGGCCCCAGAGGGTCAAGAGGAGTTCCTGAGATATTTCAAGGTCCTCTATGGTGTAAAAGGGACCAGTTAAAGCCCCTTCCCTCTGCTAGGGCAGGGGTGGTCCAGAGGTTCCACCCCACTTCCAGTAAGTTCTATTTCAGGGCTCTGAAGACTCCACAGAACTCAGAAGCCTGACTGCTGCTGGTGGAGTTCAGACCTCCACACCTCCAGGGCAGAATCATATCCCAGAACCCTGGAGAGAAGCAGACAATGGGACAGGGAGCTGGAGGGAGAAGGGACAAACCCTATAATCACAGAACCTGGCTGACTAGGCCGCCTTTTGATTGGGCAAAGAGAGGAGGGCATTGTAAAACGGAGGAGCCAACAGAGAGAAAACATCCTGAGGACGCTATGGAAGTAAGACTAAAAGGTGAGGTGGCCCACAAGCTAGTAGGTGCAGCACCTGAATAAATGCACACTGGAAGCAAAAGTTACCAACGACAAGTACACTGGGTGCTCACTTGGGCGACACACCTGGGAGAGAGCACATCCCTAGGATGCACTGAGCTCAAGTCCCAAGACAGTTAACTGGACCCCAGGTTCAGATGGGGCAGCATCTACAAGACATGGAACCTGGACCTGAGGAATTGGGTAGCAGCAGCAGAAACCTGAAGAGCCTCATCCACCATGGAACCATGTAGTTGGGGACCCTAAAAGAGCAATATATGGTAAGAGGTAGAAAAAGGGAAGCTCAGAAGCCAAAGCTGGGAATGAGGTAAGAGTCTAATCCAACGTGTAGATACACTGGAGAGTGAGGTTTGAAATACACACAGGCTAGGATTTGCTCCTTTGCATGTGCGGCCGGAAGCCCCCCAAAACAGATACTTTGTTTCCAAAACAAAGCCTGGGGGAGAAGGGAGGGCCCAAGATCCAAGCCTGAGACGGAGAACTTAAGACCTCTGATCTAGAAAGGGTCTCAGGACTCCAGTCCACTGGGAAGGAAAGGGGTGCACCGGCCAGGCACCATGAATCAGGAGGGGGCGGGGCCCTGGGACCCGCGCAGGAGCTTAAGAGGGAACCCCAAAGTAAGCGTGGAGCGGGGATCTCAAGAGAACGCACCATTTGGGCTGGTTCGGGACCCTGAAGCATGCACCTGGGTGGTGGCAGGGAACAGGGAACGCCATCCCGGAGTCAGGGGATCGCTCCAATCAGGGAATCACAGACCCAGGCTAGCCTGCAGGGAGGGGAGATAAGACCTAGACACCAGTCCTGCGCTGCACGAGGGCGGCAGACCGAGCTCGGACCCCGCTCAGAAAGTCTGTCCATCCCGCTGTCTAGGGGTATCATGCCTGTAGCCGAACCTGTCCCCCAGCCCTAACCTTGCAGTGTGGCTGAGAAGTGGGCTCTGCCTCGAGCCGGAGACCCAGGTGAGGTTTAGGGCCCCGCCCCCGGCCTCCCCGCCCCCCGCGCCCCAGGGCCGCGGCCAGGCACCCGGAGGACCAGCCTTGGTTGGGCCACATCGCGCGGCCCCGGACGGAAGCGACAGACCTCGGCTCGCGGCCCGAGCTCTGCCCCGTGCCCCCGGCCGTCCCGGCCCAGCCGGCGCCGCGGCTGCTCACTCACTTTAGCTTCCACCAGCTCCGCCGCCATCTTGGCCACCAGCGTCCCCCGCGCCGGGAGCCCCCAGCCGTCGCGTCACGTGACCTCCCGCCACTCGTGGGCGGGGCCGCCGCCAGGACCAATTAGCAACCGCGCGCGCTCGTCCCGCGGCGTGCGAGGCAGCGAACTGCGCATGCGCGAGCGGTCGCCGCCCGAGGTTCGTGCCAATCCGAGCAGCTGAATACCGACCCCCTCCACCACGACTACACTTATTCCGCTCGCGACGACCACGCCTACTCCTGGTGGTGTCTGGCCTCTTAAAGAAGCATGGGACCCGCACAGGTGGGGGCGCGTGCAGGGTCGCGTCTGGGGAACATAAGGGTGGCGGCAGCGGCGACAACAATGCAACCAGGTGTCGCGGCTCCCTGCGCGCGCGCGGACCCCAGATGCGCGCTCGAACTGGTTGGAGAAGCGGCGGCAGAGAAAAAGACGGTTGTTCAACTGCAGGAACGCCAGCGCTTGCAGTGCGGCGTTTGCACACTCGGCTGTCCCGACGCCCCGCGCGCTGCACATCCGGGTCCTGGCGCGCACATGGGGCGCGCACTCTGCACCCCTAGGCTGGCCCATGTGTGTAAAGGCGTGACGCTGCCTCCTTGACTCCGCGGAGTTCAGGCAGCTACACAGGCGACTCTGCCCCCGTTTCTGCATCCTCAACCCACGGCCATTCCTGGGGATCTGCTACCCAGAACCTCAACCCCTCTAAAACTGACCGTGGCTCTCCAGTACCCACCAGGAGCTGAAAGCAAACTTTCTTAAAACAAAAGCAAAAAACGCGGGACAACGTGTATGTTGGACAGGGGATTTTGCTCAGTGTCGCAGCACCTGCCTGGGAAGGGTGAGGTCATGAGTTTGATTTCCAGTACCAAAAAAAAGGTATAGGGGGCAGGGAGATGGCTCTGTAGATTAAAGCGCTTCCCTGGCAAGCGCAAGGGCCTGAGTTCAATCCCCAGCTCCGCCAAAAAAAAAAAAAAACAAGTATATGCCAGGGCTTATCCCCTGGGATGATACAACTAAGCAAATATTTAAGTATTTAAGAGCACTCGCACGCGCGCGCACACACACACACACACACACACACACACAGTGTAGCCACAGAAGTCATTAGGCCGGCCACAGTGTTGCATGCCTGTAATCCCAGACCTTTAGAGGCTGAGGCAGGATTGATGCAAGTTTGAGACCAGCTTGAGCTAACCAGTGAGCCCCATTTCAAAAAGACAGAAAAGAAGTTATTGGGGCTGGGGAGATAGCTCATTGGCATAAGTGCCTGCCTGGCAAGTGCAGGGTCCTGAGTTCCATCCCCAGTACTGCATGCAGTGCCTGCTACCCAAACCAGGCATGGTGTCACATGCCTGTAATCTCAATGCTGGAGAGGCTGAGACAGGAGGATCACTGAGTCCCAACTGCATAGTGAAACCCTGTATATTAAAAAAAAAAAAAAACTAGACCCAGCCAGATAGCTCGTTGGATTAAAACACCTGTTTAGGCAGTTGCAGGGACCAGAGTTTGAAAAATTAAAAAGAAAAAAAGAACAGTTAGTGAAATATATTTACATTTTGATTTTGTTTCTGAAATGACACATCACTCTGTTCCCCTGGCTCAACTGGAAATCCTTGGCTCAACCCATCTTGCTGCATCAGCCTCCTGCAATGGCTGGGACTATAGAGGTTCACCATTACACCTGGGAAAGATTTGTAAAATAAAAACGCAAAAAAAAAAAAAAGAATGGGGCCGGGGAGATGGCTCAGTAGGATAAGTGCTTGACTGGCAAACGCAAGGATCTGAGTTCAATCCCCGGTTCC